AACGTCATAGAGCGAAGAAGGTGTACGAAAACAAATACTGTACTATATTTCTAAAATTGGAAGAGGTGGGAAAAGAAAGGATAGGATATTCTTATTTTATATTCTAGCTTGTCAATATCAGTAATTTGAGTTTCTAATTCGTAAGAAACTATAGACTTTGTATTTCGACATCACATCTACTTTGAACTAAAGCTGCATCTAACCATACCACGAGACACAAAAAAATCGATATTTAGGATTTTTTAAATATTTACATTTAAATTAAAAAATTAACTAATGTATAATACTAAAATTTTGAATTATAATCTACAATTTGATACCAAACTTATTGACACGTATTCATAAAAATAGTAGTCCAAAATTTTTTTAATGAATCGGGCTAACTGTTCACTCTTCTTGACTGTCCAGAGCGATCTAAAGCTAGCCAAGATCGAAAAAAGTGCCGCGCTTGCGTAGTTAATAGCATAAATTCAGTACATGGCTAGCTAACTGTATGAGGTCATGATAGAACAGTCGTTAATTTTTTCATTTTAACTGGTTGGTAGTCGCATTCCTGGGTTGGTCGGTCACCAGGGGGAGAAAATATTACAGTGGACATCTGTTCTCAGGTATAGTGGTCTGAAATGAGAGGTGGTCGCTGATCAGGGGACTCTCTCAAAATACTGTACACACAATTTTATTTTAGCCAGGATTGTGGATGTGTTGTTTACGACGTGTTGAAGTCAACTATTGCAAAAAGCCAAAAACTTTAAAACTAGCCAAAAATACCGCAACCCGCGACTTTCAATAGAATAAAGCGACATTTAAGAAAAACAAGTCAAATTCCGCTTATTATAAAGTAAGATCAGATCAAGTGAGTGCCAGAATACTCTGAATGACGTCACGAAAAACTAGTAACTTCATTGGATAGTTAGACGTGAGACATCAGGTATAAATACGACTGGGCCAGCCAATTGAAGTTATCCGTAATCTGAGGGTCGCGGGTTCGAATCTCCGTCACACCAAACATGCCATCTTCCGTCAACTAAAATCAGATCAGGGAATTTGGGGGCATATCATCTGCTGATGGCGCCCCCATAACTCGCAACTAATAATTGAAGTTGTCAGGGAATTACTCAGTTTTTCAGTTGGTAGAGTGCCAGTGAAGTATTCAGTTTCATTAAAGTATTTGGATATGTGTTAATTATCGCGTATATTTAGTTATTCGATCGGTTAGCCAAGAAATTGTACAAGTACGTTTATTCTTACGTTAGTAGTAGTACAATTAGTGAGATATTCCCGTTTGAACGTCATTTTTAAACTTAGGCCTACAAGTTATTATAGTGTACTAGTGAAGGCAGCTTGTAGAAACTTTATAGAAGAAATCAACTAATTTGTTATCGTTATGTGGACTGGACTTCGATTTATTTCACTAAACAATGTAAAAGAACCAGCCCGACAAAAAACCAACGTTACCACACTATTTTCGGATATATTGAAAATATAATTTGAAGACACACAGTTGAAACTTAAATTAGTATTTAAAATATTAAAATATAATTTTCAAAATTCTTATGAACTGGCTTTTTAGTTAACATACTAGTATTAAAAACATTTAGCTAAGGATTCCAGATGTATATAGTTACATTTGATCAGTTTAGGGGAAATTAGGTATCTATGATTAAGATATAGTTACATTTAACATTTTCATACTGTATTTACCAAATTTTAGGCCGTGCCTCCATCACGGTTCCACCACGTAACACCACAAAAGTGGTGAATCAAAAGGCAGAGTTCATCTGTGAAGCTAAGGCACTGCCAACCAATCTAACTCACCGCTGGTTTTACAACAACATCGAAATTTCTCAATTGTCTTGGCTTGAAACTCGTACCTTAGTTCGGCGTGATGGCACGTTGTTTATTAATCCCACATCGGCAGAAGACTCGGGCAAGTACACTTGTGAGGTTTCAAATGGTATCGGCGAACCAGAGACGGCCTCTGCTTATCTCAGTGTGGAATGTAAGTTGTTTTTAGAAACTTATTATTTAACCTATTATTATAAGCAGTAGGATATATATATTGTGTGTGTGTGTGTGTGTGTGTTAACTACTAGATCAATTGTGATATTAAAAGAAACTTGAAACATTGTTCTGCCTTTTACTCATATCTTAGATCCAGCTCGTGTGGTCCATTCACCAAGCCCTCAGTATCTTCCACTTGGAAATCCTGGCATGGTAATTTGTGACGTCAAGTCTAATCCACCATTTCAGTTTGTTACTTGGACTAAGGACAGCACACCATACCAAGTTGATGAACACCATGGCGTGATTAGTCTAAAGAATGGATCCCTACTGATCCAAAGAGTAAGCCATGTTCACCAAGGAATGTACAGGTGCACACCGTACAACATTCATGGAACAGCCGGCACATCTAGCAGAATGGAAGTATTTGTACGAGGTAAACTTTTATTCCAAGTTTCAACAAACTTACAAAAATTTCTGTTTACTTCAACGAATGCTAAAAGCAAACTTTTAATCTTTATTTGTGTCTTTAAATATTCATGGTGTATCTGTGTGAACAAAATTCGGCGATTTAGATAAACTGTTAATAGTCTGACAGCTTAAACTTAATTCAAGGATGCTAGTTGGATGTGTGGAAGATAGTTAAAAAAAACATAACTCTAGACTTCGACATGGATAGGAGCAGCACAACTACACCAACAGATCAAACGTTAGTAAGTATATACAAATTTTTGAATTTAGCAATTGTTGCTATGGTAATTCTTGTGGGACTAGAAATGCGAAAGCGGCATCCATGAAAGGTTTTTATCTAAATTGAGGTAATAAGATGCTGAAATGGTGGAATACAAGTTACCGTATGGTATAAACAACACTCTGTTGGTAACATCAGTAATAATGATACTACTCAACACACACACACACACACACAATGAAATAATAATTAAGCTTTAATGTTATCCATAAATTTTATATCAGTTCTTCATTAAAATTATGATATTCCTTTTAGCATGTGAATCATCAAGAACACTGTTTTGTTTGTTGATGTTCCTTCAGTGGGTCAGTGGTATGTTTTTGGGCTTTATACACTAAAATCCGGAGTCGATTCACGGCAGTGGAAAGAACGTGGATAGCATATCTTTGCTTTAATAAGCAAAAATTAAGTACATGACACAGAGCTCACAAGCTTTGTTCACAGAATAATAAAATTATTTGTTTCATTTTCATGCTTTTAAGCTTTACAAAAGCTTATCAGGTGAAAGGCTAGGATCTTAAAGAGCTTAAAAGCTTGTGGTTAAGATTACAAGAAAAAAATTACGATGTTTGTTAGTTATACATTCAGCTGTAACGTTTTTGTCAATTTTACTAAACCTGATAATAGCAAATGTGTACGTTTATATGTAAGTATAAAGCTGGGTTACCAAGTCTGTGTACTTCCCACAGACTTGTATTGTTGGTTTTTTTCTTTTTATAATTGCTTTAATACTTGGGAGGTTGCAGATTACTTTTTTTTTTTGGTAGTGAGAACTTATCTTAATAGGAATGTGCTTGATTGGAACATAATTGTATATATCAATAAAAAACATATGCATTGATATATTTTTAAAACGGAGGTTCCATAAATTTCCGTCAGAAAATTTTATAAAGGAATAGTCCAGCCTTGTTTTTTGTTGTCGTCCCAAAATAGTTTCTTCTGCATCATCCACTGTTCCCGGGAAGAATTCCAATGTCAAATGCTAGAATATCTTTGCCATTAAGCATAGAAAACCAGCTTTTATCCAGAAGGTGAGCACACTGCCATTACATCTTCAAGCTCAATTGTGAAAATGTAGAGAAAGAACAGAACAAAAACTACAATCATTTAATATTCATTAGAATAAAAGAGAAACTCGTGACACTTCTAGCAGTCGGTGTGAATTCAGTTGCAAAAAAGTGAGTCAAGTTTGCACTGTTTCCACACCAGCGTCCAGACAGATACAAAAGGAATTTATCAAGACTTCTGTTCTTCTTTTTAATTATTCTCTCAATCTGCATGTATGATGTGCTATTCTTTGAAAATGTAATTGCTGCTATTTTGTGTTACTATGGCTTTTAAACAGAACTGCATTGCTTTATGTTGGTTGATTAAAAAGTGGCTTATTACACTTGAAAACCTGGCAATCCTGGTATCACTAAGCACAGTAGTACTTAGAATATAGGGATGGGCCTGGAAAGAAATGGCCGACGTATATTACGTATTGCTCATCATGGTTTTCAATCTCTCTTATAACAATCAAAGGAACATTTATAAACATCTAACTTTCAGTTTGTCAAAAAATCTCACTAAAGTAGAGGACTAGCGAGTAGCAAATGTTCTGCTGATTATTCTGAACCTGGCATCATAAGGGCTAGCTCACCAATACTTGAAGTTGTTGCGATGATTTACACACCAAAATGTTGCATTTTAACTTGTGGAGCGCAGAAGCATTATAGCGCTTCACTAACTTTAACATATGATATCCATCAAGACAACTCATCACATCAAGTTACAACTGCCGCCTTCATAATGACTGAATTCGTGCAAATGAAAGGGATTCAGTATTTAGTTGTAGATAAAAGTTTTTCTTGGAAAGATTTGGCTACATATGTAGGGATTTTTTCATAGTTTTGTGTATTCATTCCTACCTTCTTTTTGTACTTTTTGGCATTGCCATCCCTACATAATGTTGGTTTTTTTGGGTTTTTTGTTAGTTGTATAAAGATCTTGGCATCTTTTCTGATGCTCATAAAGTATTCACAACGTAGTTTGCATATCAGTACATAAATAGAATTACACATCTGAATTTTCCACATAAACCCGTGGTACAAATAGGGAAATCTTTAATATTACAAGATGTGAATTTCAGCTATGATGTGAACCATAGCAAGTTTCCATGCTTTTTTTTCATAACGGCATTACAAGGCTCAGGGCGAGCATGTTTGGTGTGACGGGGATTCGAATCCGCGACCCTCAGATTGCGAGTCGAGCGCCCTAACCACCTGGCCATGCCCTTTCAGCCGTGGGGGCGTTATAATGTGACGGTCAATCCCACTATTCGTTAGTAAAAGAGTAGCCCAAGAGTTGGCGGTGGGTGGTGATGACTAGCTGCCTTCCCTCTAGTCTTACACTGCTAAATTAGGGACGGCTAGCGCAGATAGCCCTCGTGTAGCTTTGCACGAAATTCAAACAAACAAACAATAAAACACGTTATCTTCAGTTTTAGAACTATTTTATTTTTTTCGTAATTTTACCTTTTAGTACAGTAAATGGTCGATTTTATCTCTCACTAAACTGAACAGTCTGGGTGTCGTACAGTAATATGTACACTGGTGTTGAACATTATCAAAGATACTGACGCTATGATCTGAACTTTGTACTTGATCTACTCATCCTTGTGCTACGGTTTTTGGTTACAGGTTCAGGTCAGTGCTATCATCATGCCCATGTTTGAGGCCTTTTGAACAGAGAAATATACAGATCCATGTCTTTGGTCTAACTTTTCAACTTTTACAGAATCATTTCCTTTCAAGTACGCCCTTAGCCCCCCCCCCCTTTTTTATATTTTGTATTATATTTTCTGTTACTACTAAAATGAAAAAAAAAACACTCTTCTAAGAGAGATTTCAAAATCCAAGATTACTTAAAATACGATTCGTTTATTGTTGATGATTGTGCTGCGATTGTTGTTATTTTCCTCAGAGATAAAATATATCGATATGCATTGAATATTACTTCAACAAGTTTGATAAAATAGATCGATATGCATTGAATATTACT